CAATAATTTAATAAAAACATGGACTATTTTACCCATAGAGGATCAAAATTCAAAACCCATAATTTAAAACTTAAGAAACCAAAATTAAAACTTGTGTAAATTTAAAAGACCAAAAATTATATTAACTCTAATTTTCTCTTTCTTTTTTTTTAAGAGTGGAAGAACATGAATATGATCAGCCTCTGGTGAGAATAAGTGCATATTTTTTTTGGCCCTTTGGGTTCTCTCAAAAGTAGAGTAAATCATAAGGGGACAAAAGCATGTGGAGCTCTTTGACTTGCTAGAAATTTTACTATGAAGCATGATATGCAAACTCGAACTAGACTAGCCGATCCAGTCTAAAAACCAGCAAATCAGCTAGGTAACCAGTCTGGTCAACCGTACAGATCGGAGTCAAATTGATTCGAAGGTGATACGATGTAAACCGGACCAACCTGGTTAACCCACCAAACCTATATGGGTTTGGTGGGTTAACCCGATTGCTTTTTAAAAAAAAAAATTATTTTGAGCCAAAAACCTTTTTCTCTCTCTTAAGTTATTGATAATTATTAGTTTAGTGATTAATGTATTGCAGGAATATTTTGCTATCATATATCTATTTTGATAGTTTTCCAGGGTTATTGGATTAATATATAGTGATTTTTTTAATATGATACTCCACTATGATGTGAATTTGTCAAATAAATTGTAAGTATATAATTATTATGTTTGTAATTCAAGGTAATGAATTAATATTTAGTCCTTAGATGGTATGATAAAAATTTAAATTATTTTTTAATTTTTTATTTCTCACCAGTTTGACTCTCAAGTTGATTCCGGTCTAATCTATTAACCCTTGACCTATTGCCTTTATCAGTTCAGTAATTGGTCCAGTTTTCAGTACTTTGCCATGAAGAGATAATCAAATTCCCAACCGTCAATCTCATATTTCTTAAATAGCAACTTATTTATTTATAAGTGTTTATAATCGGAATTTTGAATGAAGTCTAAACCTTGCTCTTACTATCAAGTCTTCACATAATTGATTTTTTTTTAATGTAAATTAGCCATATATAAAGTTTGAAGAGTGAGTCATATATCCTATATGATTTTTTTTTATTTGTGCATGCATGGGATAATAATAGCTCAGTAGTTTTTCAGAAGATTGTATATACATATGTATACACACACAAATATATATAAATTTAAATCCAATTAAAATGTGTATATTTTATGTTATTATTGATGATGACATATTATTAATGATATTGATTAGATTATTCTAACCAAAAAAAAAAAATCTGCTAAGCTATGGAATATGTGCATAAACACCCATACATATACATAGGCATTTTTCCTCTATTTATAATATCGGGAAAATGATTACTAAGTAATTTATTTGCTTTCCTCAAACTTACCGAATTTAATTAACTAACTCTTGTAAGTTATATGAAGAACGTTAGAAGGAGTGCATAGTTTTTTTTGTTTTTTAAGTTTCAATCCCTTTTTTAATAAGTTGGCAAAAAAATTACAATTTCTAAATAATTAAGAATACTATATATACTCAAGGTCGAAAAAAAGAATACCATATGTACTCATGAAATAAGCTGAGAGTATTCGTATTTGATAATTTCAAAAGATTATATATATAAAAAGAAAAGATGAGAAGATGCATGCATCTTTGGATGGTGAAGGAAGAAGAAGGGCAGGCTTCAGAAATTAAAATGGAAGGGGATATATAAATATAAATATATATATGTAAATATATGCGTGTGTGTGTGCAGAGCCCTGATTGGCAAATTCACTGAGCCTGTCTTTAATATAATTCTTTGGAAAGTATGTATGGTTTTGTGTGGACACAACTATATAGCAGAAGATGCTCCTTCATTCTCACTCCTTATTTTTGGTTAAGAAAAAGAGAGGAAAAAGGGATGTTGTTCTTCTGAGTGTAGCATATCCTATCAAAGTTATCATTATTGTATTATTCCTGTTTTAATTTTATCAGCAATCTCACAATTACAATAATATATATATATATAGAGAACTTATTGAGGCTTGCTTTTGGATGATTTATAATTAAAATAATTAATATTTATCACTAATTAATTTTCCTATTTACAAGTCATGAACAAATATATGGCTTATACATCCCCTTGTTATTGTTGGATTAGGGTTGGGCTTTATAGCGCGTACCCCACACACACCCACTCGGTGACACAAACACTTCTTTATGAGAATCATCTGGTTGAGTCCTTCAAGGGTCCCACTTATCTCAACAAAAGGTCCTGTTTGTGCATTGGAGCATTTCCGCAAATCCTTAACCAAGCCATGCTATGCTCATTCCAAACGAGCCATCAACATCCAACATTGCCAAATGATTAAGCGGGCCACCTTGCATGCCATTTAGGGTGTGTTTAGATAAGATCAAAATCATGGTTTTAGAAGTATCTTTACGGTATACGAAGTAAATATGTGGAGGAGTTTGTCTCGATTTGTGGAAAAGTGATTCTTGAGGTATCCAAACACCCCCGTAATCATTAATATTATTATAGTTTCTTGTCTAATGATATACCATTTGGACTTCTAGCCCAAACACCAAGACTTATTGATTAAAAGGTTAATGTAATGTTTGCTCCCTCAAATTTATTCTCATTTTGGTTTTAATCTTTCAATTTTTAAACCATATATTTTGGTCCTTAAAAGACAAAATGATTCAAGTTTTTACTGGATTATAGGGACTAATATTTTAAATGAAAAGAAATTTAAGGAACTAAAACCGATAGTTTGAAACTTAAAGGACCAAAACTAAATAAGAGTAAACTTGAAGGGCCAAAGTTTACATTAAACCTTGATTAAATTAAGGATAAAGTTACATCCCACACCCTGATCTTTTTTCTCAGGTGCATCTAGCACTTCAATAGTAAACTAATGATATGTTTTTTCAGTGGAAAATTGAGAGAGAGAAGAAAAATTTTAATGGTTCGATTTAAAAAATTTGGAAAGTTAGAGTTTTAAAATTTTTAAAGAGATAAGATGTAAAATAAAAAGGTAAGAAAAATAATTAAAATATTTTAATTCTATTTTTTTAATTTTTTAAATTGAACCTATTAAAAATTTTCTCCCCTCTCCTTCCTTCGATTTTTCTCATACCAGAAGAGTCATAAATGGTTCAAAGTGTGATATATCGGTTGGAAGATTTTTTGGATGAAAAACATATAAAGATAGAAAGCCAACCAAAATTAGTTTAATTGGTAAAAAGTTCTCTCATAACTCAAAAAATTTTAAGTTTAAACCCGCTACGAATGTGATGATAAAATCATATGGAAGCGTTGCTAACATAGAGATGCACATAGCTTAGTTAATGATAAAATCATATCTAATACATCCTTATCCATACAAGAAAATATAAAAGCATCAATAATTAATGATATCAATAACAAAAAGTTTGCTGATAAAAAATCATAAAACTTGAAGTACGTGTGTGTGTGTATAAATTATCTCCAAATTAAAATATAATCTTTTATTATATCATTTCATACTCTCATCTCCTTTTTTTTTTTTTTTGCCTTTTGTGTATATGATATATAATCAATGTTCGCCACAGCGAAAGGCCTAAATTGATCATAGATGCCTGGTCCAAACAGAACATATAGCACAGGACGCAGAATCTCAGAGAGCACTAAATTTTTTCGGTTCCTTTATGGATGCCATCACCATCTCAAAAATGGAATACCAAACATCATTTGCCACATGGCACATTTATAGAAGCTTGAGATTCTGTATTTTTATCTTTATATTATCATGTAACGCGTCAACTTTCTTTCCTTCTTTGCTTTTCCTCTCCTTTTTTTTTTCTGGTTGGGTGACAACTCGTCAACTACTTTATGTCCTAAGGAATGTCCGAACAGACTTGCTAACATTAAACCAAATGAAAAAGAGACTGACCATTAACAACTATAAGAGAGTTTCAACATTGCATACATATATATATATGGTCACTCTCATCTTGCAGTTTGTTCCCTTTTTTTTTTAGCAAAGAGTATCCATCGTTGATAGCAGTGACTAATCTCCTTATACTATAGACTTCTCGAAAGGGTTTTAGTACTGACCAGTAAGAATGAATAATGTTTCTCTTGATTAATTTCAAGTTTGATTCATTGTTAAGTTTTAAAGATCATGGGAATTATTTGTTTCAAAATTCATGAGAATATGCATACTTTAACCTATATATTATAACCACAATTGATTTGGGGGAAATTATGAAAACACAAATTAGTTCTATGGGCTTGATGAACAAGAAGAAGCTAGCCCCCACATGCAATTTCATCGGTCCCATGTGTGAATAATAAGATGTGATGAAGAAAATGATAGTTTGAACTGTAATCGGGTAGTCGCAGACTCAAAACTAGCACAATCGTCGAATATCGAAGGAGAGAAAAAAAACAAAGTAACACCCCTCGCATTGATTGGACGCAACAACTTTATTCATTTATCGTTTGCTAATTCATATTCCTCGGGTACTAAATATAATACCTGTTTTGTAGTGTAATTTACACTATAAAATGGGTCTTATATTTAGAACCGGAAGAGTATTATTTTGGCTTTCGAAATTTAATATAAATTTTTTAAAAAATGAAGTGAAAAAAAAATCTAATCTGAACCGTTGGATCCCTTGTGAGTCAGCGAAACTAGTTCCCTTGGAATTTTTTATCACACAAACAGAATATACAAACAATTGCAGGATCCACCGGTCACAAGTACGGACAATGACGCGACAAAAGTCGCATTAATATAATTTGACGCACGTTATTCCATTATGACGTCGGCACGCCAACTGTGGGCAAAGGATTCTTCCGTTTTATGCACATAAACTAGGGCATCATCTGTGTTAGACTTGTGGGTGTCACCGTACAAGTGCGTCAGTTATATATATGTGTGCGTGCGTGTTTGTGTATATATGTTGCCCTTTGCCACAAGGTTATCAAAAGCTATATTCTCTCTATCTATCCTTCTATCTGCAGATGGAAAGGAATCATCCTCACCATCGTCAACAACCTCATGGTGGTTTCTTCAACGTATTCTCTGAAAATCATATTTCTAAAGGTTTGCAGGAATCATCATCATCATCATCTTCTCCTGCTCCTCCGAACTTCACAGTTTCTACTGAGTTATCTCTTTCTTCTTCCTTCTCCTCCTCGGTAGCCTCCTCCAAAACCAGAACCAGAGGTACCCATCAGTATTTTTCCAAGAGAAATAGTAATAACAGAGAGAGAAAAGCATCATATCCTCCTTATAACTATTTCTTTACGAAGAAAGAAGAAAGGCATCATGAGAGCAATATCAGCCAGTCATCTTATGGCCGCTGCTCTACTGCTTTGAGGCTTTACGATGACCCATGGAAGATCAAGAAGGTTCTGACAACCAGCGACCTCGGGAAGCTGAATAGGCTAATGTTGACCTCGGAAAATTCGATGGAGGACCTGGTAGTTTCATTGATGGGAAGTAATAACAACAATAACAGTAAGAGTGAGGAATTACTGATAAGGGGAAGGCCAGTGAGGGTGTGGGATTTAGAAACCAAGTCCATGCACCAGCTGGTTCTGAAGCAATGGGCTTCCATCAAGAACTACGTCCTGATAGGAAACTGGAATCAAGACTTTGTGAAGAGGAGGAACTTGAAGAAAGGAGATGAGATTGGCCTTCAATGGGATCCCTACAACTTCTGCTTTAATTTCTCCGTTCTCAAGCGATTATCAGTTATGGCGGAGTAAGTGTTTCTAGATTCCAACCAACTTGTTAATATCTTTCTTGAGGGCTCAATCGATCTGATGAGTACTCGGAAAAGTAATATCTTTCTTCTACCGTTTTAGTTATAATTAATGAACCTCTCCTCTAGCAATAAAATCTGCAAACTTCTTGCCTGCTATACGTGTTTCTATATACATATACATGTGTGTGTGTGTGTGTGTGGATGTATTATAAATACATGCAGGTTATCTTAATTATCTGGGTAGTTCTTGGCTGCCCTTAAGTTCATGGGTAGTCTCCTCAGTTTATGAGACGAAGACATGAAGTGATCGTTTAATATTTCCAGGATATTAACTAATTAGCCACTAAATCCAATTCAACATAGAACATTAATTAACTAATGCTAGTTGTCACAATTGTGTTAAAAATCAAGCCCAACCTTCAATATTGGAGATTATCCAGTAAAGATATAATCCAGATTTTAGAAGGCTTTGAATGAGTTTTCTCTCATGTTTTTTAATAGCACTTTATGTAGTTCATATATCTGAAGGTACATATATATAAATATATATATATATATATATATATATCAATGACTCGATCAATATATATGCCCACATCCTTATATCTTCAACAAATAGGTTTCAGTAGTAAGTAGGATTGATCATTCTCTGGTTTCAAATGTTATATTCTCAAGATTTTCTGTGCATTATTCTAATAGGATTGATTATCCCTGATTGCATCAATTATCTGCATTTGGAAAGTCCTAAGCAAGCCGACCCTATTATTGATCATCATTTGAACAATCAATTCTGCAGTTGCAAAAGTAAGTATTCCCATATAAGCCAAGGTACTACGTGCAGGCATATGGTATCTTTTTAGAGTCTGAAGAGTTTAGGGTGTAACATAATTTTATTTATGCATGGCTTCTTCGATCTTCCTCCTCCTCCCTATAAATCTTCTGAAGTCTTTTAATTTGTTCCACCGGATTTATTCAGAAATAATCAGAATCATGAGTGGACTTTGATTATTATTATTTTTTTCAAAGAACAAAGTCATATATGTATAAGAAGAAGAAGAGGGCAGTGGCATCTAGCTATATTATTTCTGGGGTGTCTCTATCGATGGAGGATATGTCTTTTGAGGACTGGCAGAGAAACTTATCTCTGGGAATCCGAGAAATGGTGCACCCAGAATGGACCAATAGGAATAAGTTAATCCAGCGCTATATCTATAAAGTAAAACCATACTTGTTGAACATAAAGTTATAAGAAAGGATTCACTTCTTATGGTCCAAACAGTATCACTTTCTCTTTTCACTCAAAATTTTCTTTCTGAAATATAAGTATCAACAGTAATTATAAAAAAAAAAAATTCTGTCTCCAAGGCTCAAGCTCATCTCAATGAGGTGTGATTTAGTGCTTTTTAATTCTCATGACGATAGTGTGGCATCCATCAAATTAATGATGATTTTTCTTTAAATTATTAATATCATTCATTCATTGATCAAAGTTAATTTCAAACTTTCATTTATGATTAAATGTTAGAATTTTCTCATGAAATAACTGTAGTACATCCTTTTGTTTTGATCATCTCATGGAATAATAAATAATTTTCTCAAATTTTAAACTTTGAGTGAGAATAATTTAATCATTATAATTGTAAACCATCAACAATTAAGGAGTAAATTATGGAAAAATTAATTAATTTTTCATATGTGTTATAAAATGAAAGGAGATGAGATTGACCTACAATAGGATCCCTATACAAAACTTCTGCTTTAATGTCTCCATTCTGAAGTTGAGGAAATACATTTTTGGGTTGTATAAGAGCTCATAGACTAATTCTTAGCAAAAATTAGTTTTGAAAGTAGACTCGCTCTCTGTTTCTTTTTTTTATTGTTTGCTTTAATTAACCAACTTGTGTGTGTGTATATAGAAGGAGAATCCTAATAAAATCTGGTTAAAATACCTCAATCCAAATTAAGAAAAACATTTTAAATAATTTTCTAATTAGGCCATGCCACCTCATTAATTAGAAATTTCTAAATGTTGCTAAATGATCCTCTTTAATTAGATTTTCCCCCTTCTAAGTGGTCTCTCTCATATGTCATGATTATTTTTTGAGACTAAAAAACACATACATAATTTTTATGGTAGTGTTTAAAATTTTTATATATATAACTAAAATCTTCAAAAATATTTTAATCAAACACTTTAAATTAAAATATAAGTACCCCTTAAATAAATATTCAAAGAAAAATATTCTGTTTAAAAAATATTTTTAATTGATATAAATGATATTTCAGAACAGAATAAACTAAAAATATTTTTTATTATGTGAACCCAATGTTTACTTAAGTAAATAAAACTAACGTAAAATATAAGAGTATAATATTAAATATTTCATCAAATTAAAATATTCTGTGATCTTAAAATGAATATCGACAAACAGAAAATAAAAAATATTTATTTCAAAGCTATTTATATTGTAATTTGAAACGTTTTATTGAGATTTTTTTTGGCTTACTTATACATTATTATACATACAAATTTTAAACCCTATAATACCACTTGTGTTTTTTAGTTCTAAAAAATAATCATCAGAGATGAGAGATTACTGAAAAGGAGTAAAATAATCAATTTTTCTTTTTAATTGAAGAGAAGCATTTTAGTTATTTAATAATATTTAGAAACTCTAAATTAGGCCTCATGGCCTGATTTGAAATTCGTTAAAAGTATATTCCTTAATTTGAATTTGTTAAAAACCTTCACTTAGGCTTTTTTTTATTTTCTCTTGTTTATTTATCTTTTTATCCAAACTGATCCATCTAACTTATAAATTAATACCAAATATAATGTTTTACGCCCAGGTTATGTTATTTGGGCAGTTCTTCGCTGTTCCTGAGTTTATGGGTATTATACTTTGTATATACTGTTATTGATTAATGAGATGAGATGGATTTAGAATATTTTTCCAAGTTATTCGGTATCTTTGTGCGGAATATCTAGATATATACACTCCCTCTCCTTTTTTTTTTTTTAATAAGATTCCTCTTTTCTGATATTCTTAATATGTATAAGGCCTTGCGTCAAAAGCATTAAATACTGGTTAATGGGTTTTAATTTTATTGATGTCAAATTTAAAATTTTAAAAGTTTTGACAAATTGTTAATTAAATTTTTTTTAATCTGCATAAAGTAGTTGATGGATTTTATAAAAAGCAACCAGGTGAGATGGGAGAAGTGTGCATGTGTGTGTGTCTGTGTAAAAGGAGGTTTTGTTTCTAATAGTTACTTTCTTCAATCTTCCCTCTCTCAGTGCATTTCTTCAGAGACTGATTATGGGATATTTTATGGGGAAAATTTGTGATAAAATGGTAAACCTTAAAACCTCAAACGAAGGAATAAATCATTTGAGGGACATGTGTCGATATCTCCCTTCTTGTAATTTCCTTCTCTCTCTGTCCTTTTTTTTTTTTTCCAGTTTTAAGCAGGTTACAAGCTACTTTTGATTCAAAATATAACTTAAATTAAGAGTTTAATTATATTCTCCATTTTTATTCCTAAACCAACTTTGTATAGTACTCCTCCGATTCTAAATATAAAACCCTTATATTAATGTGTATAAGGATCTTATATTTAGGATCAGAGGAGTAATTTTTTAGAATATTTTTGAGTATAAGTTTTGAAAAACTAACTATCTCTACCATACTACTCTGACTATTATTGGAACACATCTAATCTCCTGAAATTTATAACCTAATAACTGAGTTGTAAATTATGCCAATTCCCCAAAATTTTCATCATCAATGGTACGAAATGGACTTGTAAATTTCACTGACTTATAGTATTAATTGGATTTTAAATAATGGAAGAGTGGAAGATAAGTTAGCTTAGAACTTAATTTTACATCATATATTATTATTATTAATCATTTATATAACTAATCATGTGAAATTTACAACATAAGTGTTCGTGATTTATAGCCAGTTTTGTGAAAATTACAACTTACTTAGAATGAAACGATTTAGTATTAGCAGCTAACGTTACAAATTTCAATACATGTAATATTATTCTTTTATTTTTAAATTTTTTGTCCACCTCTCTTGAAAATTTAATCAGCCAAATATTTGATGGACATAATTTCTTCTTAAATTGATCGCTAAATAAATGTGTGTGTGTGTATTGCAATTTCTTATCTTAATTCTAAAAGCAATCGCTAATAATTTATTCTCAAAACTCTGATTCTCATTCTCAAAATATAATTTTGAATCTTAACAATAGTTACATATTATATTACTTTTATAAATATTTTTATACTTTAAATTATGTTATATTTATTCTTCTGTTAATTTTTTACCTGATATATTTTTTGAATAAAAATTTTATTAAAAAATCAAATTACGTTTCTAATAATTTTATGACTATTTAATATTACAAACTCAACTTTTTAGGCTTACGGCAAGTTGCCCATCCCTCATCGGATTTTTTCTCCCTAGGGTTTCTTGCACGCAATTGATTGGGCTGATAACTTGAGCTGTGCCAGTCTTCGCCTCCGAGCGGACCAGGAGAGAACACAGTGACAAAGTCCAGCCAAAGCCCTTACCCGCCTGAATTAAATCCATATCTCCTTCGTCTGGTTGAGAACGGAGTAAGCCCGCGTAACTGGACTGTGACTCTGCTAATGACGCCCACCCAGAAAGAAAGGATTATAATCGCTCGTTACGTCCTCGCCCGCTGCCACCATTTATAGAACCGACCGACGCTGGTCTTGTTCCGGCATCGTATCCATAATTAGTACATTCATGTGCAAAGGCCCAGAGATGGAATAAAAAAGTGAGTTTTTTTTTTGGGCGTTCTGAGGGGAAAACGGCAGGGGGATTGGGAACAGTAAACAGAGAAGGGAAGCGAAGAGGGATGTCTTCTTCTCGTGAAAACCCCAAGCGACGTTTCATGATTTAAGGGAGCTTGAAGAGCGACGAAGTACTAGGAGGTGATTTTCATCACTACTCATAGATTTTA